TCCCAGATACATTAGCATCATTTATTGAGTCGACGAATTCAAACGAATCAGAAACACTATGCTTGCAGAGATTATTTCTGATAGGTAGGAGGATTTCTGTGAGCCATTTGGCAGTAGCATGATATGGGGATTTTTTCATGTCCAGGATTTGACGTAGTGGCACGTTCTCTTTGTGCACTTTTGGCAGACCATATAAACGGGGAATCACGGAACCGGAGGGTCGTATTTGCTCGAATAATTCAGAGCTAATAATCGATTCGTTCTTCATATTCTTCAGCATTTGTGTTATCTTGCTTTCAATTTGTTCCGTTTGGTCTTTCTGGCTACTTTCTTTTGAAAATTTGTTTTCATCTGACAAGACTGATAACATTTTATCGATGTAGTCTTGGCGATCCATCAGGACAATGCCAGAACCTTTGTCGGGGCGTGTCACAACCAAGTCTTTGTTCTTTAGAATCTCACGCAATTGCTTTCTGTGCTCGGCTGAAATCAACCTTCTGGCTTTTGGTTGCGTGTTGATGTACTGATGGCAGCTATTTAATACTGTAGACTTGAATTGTTCATATGATTTGTTGGACGCTGCAGAAAGGTCATTTGTCTGTTGGATCAGTGCTTCAAATTGGACTTTGATATCCAGGTCACTCGAGTTTGTCGAAATATCACAGAATTTTGGACCCAACGACAAGGCTTGCAATTGGACAGGAGTCAATGATATACTAGAGTAGTTGAAGACGTATTTTTCTGGTTTGGCAGGAAAACAAGAGTAAGTGTCAGCGGCTTTGAGGCTGTTCGCGAGTTTCAGGTTTACATCTTCACAGCGTCTTCTTGAAACTGACTCGATGTAGTCCATGAAACTTCTCTGCTCGTCTTCTGTCAGCTCATATAGAGCATGTGTTCTTAGTGAAATGTTTCTCTCTATCTCCGGTAGGCGAGATTTTATTTCATCGATGACGTTCAGTGTATAACGTTTCAAAGAGCGATGGTTTGGGTGAATATGATTGCGACGAAGACATTTCCAGAAGTGCTTGGGATATTCTTTCTTATCAATACAGCTCTTCAGAAAACTGATTCTCGCATTCGCTATGGCAAGCTTGACAGAAAACTTAAGAAACGTATCAAGTTCTTTCACTGTCACAGGGTTCTTGCTCTGTTTCAAATCACGGAAAATACCCATTGAGTCATGAAGAAAATAAAAGACAGATTCAGCGAAGAAAATTTTCTTTATCGACGAAATCATCTTCAGAGGCTGTACAGTCGTATTTATACTTAGAAGAATGTATGGTGGTCTATAATTGAGTAATAGGGGGTGACATAATTGCTGTAATTAATCATAAGTGGCTTTGGAGGTGAAAATTAAAAGTTGTAAATTACATGGTACTTGACGGAACAAAGATAGAAGTTAGAAAAGGTTAAAATTGCTCTTGAGTGAGAATAAAGTTATTAGAGTGTCAATTTAACAAGTGTGAAGAAGGTGTGAAAATATATGAAATTGATAATAGTGAATTAATTATTAAAGCAAAAGCAAACTAAAAGTAAAATTAAAGATTAAGAACAAAATCAAAAATATTTTTTTACAGGGAAGGATAAGTGAAGAGGTTAAGACCAAGGTAGAATAAGAGACTGGACAAACTTTTTCTGTATACAGAGATCAGGGTTGTATTGATGTATTGCCAGCGCCTCCGCCATACACAAAAGCCGGAACCTGACACCCTTTGTACAATTTGGCTTCACTTTGTAGATGATGTTGAAAGACGACTCTGGTGGAGCTACGTGGCCTGAGTTCACCAAATGCTCGAGAATTGAGCTAGTAATTGTCTTGTATTGTCCCTTTGCTAACCATGCCGGATAATGTTCAGAGATGCGTTTGGAAAGCGTGCGCTTTGTGCGGCCAATATAACTTGCTCCACACGAGCATGTGAATTTATAAACACACATTGAGGTGGCTCAAAGCGGCAGCTTATCCTTCACACATCCGTTGATCATTCGTCGGCTGTAGAAATTGATACGTAGCTCAGCCATAAAGAAGGCTTTCCTCAGTGATCGGCGTAAGCGATTCTTCAAGATCTCAGCTGCAGTATCACCTTTAAATTCAACACTCATAAAGAGCAGTTTCTTCGGCACAGTCTGAATTCTTTCGGGCTTTTCTCTTAGCTTCATGTTTTTCTCGATGAATCTTGGAGGATATCCATTCTCTAAGAGAACTTGTCTGAGTCGCTCCAATTCCCCATCGATTGTATCACTTGAACATATCCTCCTTATTCTTGAGGATAAGGAATGGATCAAATTTCTCTTTCTTCTTAAAGGGACCCAGCTATGGAAATTTGTGTACTGACCGTTCCATGCTGGTTGCCTGTAGATCGATCTTTGAAGAGAGCCATCAGATCTCCTCTTTAGAAAAACATCCAAAAAGTGGAATTCCGAGTTAATCTCTGATTCCGACGTGAATTTGATGGCATGATGGCAGCTGTTGAACTCATTAGTTATCAATTCGACGTCAGTATTGTCGTCACATATGATGAAGGTATCATCCATGTATCTTAGGTACAGATGGAAACTGTCGATAGTAGGCCATAAAATACTATTCTCCAAACTGGCCAAGAAGCAATCTGCAAGTAAAGGACCCAGTGGTGACCCCATTGCTACTCCATCTCTTTGTCTATATATCGTGTTGTTGAATTTGAATTGGACATTTAGAGTGCACCTCAAAAGTAGTTCCTTTAAGTAGTGTATCGGAACACATACGTCCACATTATTATCTTCAATGAATTTGCATATAAAGCAGATAGTTTCAGTGAGGGGAACGTTGGTGAAAAGCGAAGTAACATCCATAGATATCATTTTCTTCCCAGATACATTAGCATCATTTATTGAGTCGACGAATTCAAACGAATCAGAAACACTATGCTTGCAGAGATTATTTCTGATAGGTAGGAGGATTTCTGTGAGCCATTTGGCAGTAGCATGATATGGGGATTTTTTCATGTCCAGGATTTGACGTAGTGGCACGTTCTCTTTGTGCACTTTTGGCAGACCATATAAACGGGGAATCACGGAACCGGAGGGTCGTATTTGCTCGAATAATTCAGAGCTAATAATCGATTCGTTCTTCATATTCTTCAGCATTTGTGTTATCTTGCTTTCAATTTGTTCCGTTTGGTCTTTCTGGCTACTTTCTTTTGAAAATTTGTTTTCATCTGACAAGACTGATAACATTTTATCGATGTAGTCTTGGCGATCCATCAGGACAATGCCAGAACCTTTGTCGGGGCGTGTCACAACCAAGTCTTTGTTCTTTAGAATCTCACGCAATTGCTTTCTGTGCTCGGCTGAAATCAACCTTCTGGCTTTTGGTTGCGTGTTGATGTACTGATGGCAGCTATTTAATACTGTAGACTTGAATTGTTCATATGATTTGTTGGACGCTGCAGAAAGGTCATTTGTCTGTTGGATCAGTGCTTCAAATTGGACTTTGATATCCAGGTCACTCGAGTTTGTCGAAATATCACAGAATTTTGGACCCAACGACAAGGCTTGCAATTGGACAGGAGTCAATGATATACTAGAGTAGTTGAAGACGTATTTTTCTGGTTTGGCAGGAAAACAAGAGTAAGTGTCAGCGGCTTTGAGGCTGTTCGCGAGTTTCAGGTTTACATCTTCACAGCGTCTTCTTGAAACTGACTCGATGTAGTCCATGAAACTTCTCTGCTCGTCTTCTGTCAGCTCATATAGAGCATGTGTTCTTAGTGAAATGTTTCTCTCTATCTCCGGTAGGCGAGATTTTATTTCATCGATGACGTTCAGTGTATAACGTTTCAAAGAGCGATGGTTTGGGTGAATATGATTGCGACGAAGACATTTCCAGAAGTGCTTGGGATATTCTTTCTTATCAATACAGCTCTTCAGAAAACTGATTCTCGCATTCGCTATGGCAAGCTTGACAGAAAACTTAAGAAACGTATCAAGTTCTTTCACTGTCACAGGGTTCTTGCTCTGTTTCAAATCACGGAAAATACCCATTGAGTCATGAAGAAAATAAAAGACAGATTCAGCGAAGAAAATTTTCTTTATCGACGAAATCATCTTCAGAGGCTGTACAGTCGTATTTATACTTAGAAGAATGTATGGTGGTCTATAATTGAGTAATAGGGGGTGACATAATTGCTGTAATTAATCATAAGTGGCTTTGGAGGTGAAAATTAAAAGTTGTAAATTACATGGTACTTGACGGAACAAAGATAGAAGTTAGAAAAGGTTAAAATTGCTCTTGAGTGAGAATAAAGTTATTAGAGTGTCAATTTAACAAGTGTGAAGAAGGTGTGAAAATATATGAAATTGATAATAGTGAATTAATTATTAAAGCAAAAGCAAACTAAAAGTAAAATTAAAGATTAAGAACAAAATCAAAAATATTTTTTTACAGGGAAGGATAAGTGAAGAGGTTAAGACCAAGGTAGAATAAGAGACTGGACAAACTTTTTCTGTATACAGAGATCAGGGTTGTATTGATGTATTGCCAGCGCCTCCGCCATACACAAAAGCCGGAACCTGACACCCTTTGTACAATTTGGCTTCACTTTGTAGATGATGTTGAAAGACGACTCTGGTGGAGCTACGTGGCCTGAGTTCACCAAATGCTCGAGAATTGAGCTAGTAATTTTCTTTGATTTTCTTCATGACTCAATGGGTATTTTCCGTGATTTCAACCAGTAGTACTTTATAGTCAGACCGAAATCATCTTAACAGCGGAGGCTAATTTTGCCAATTCGGAGTCCAGGCTCATTAAACGTTAAACTCAGCTCAGAGAAATGAATCAGTTGAAACAACTTAAATACTAACTAGGTATTTAGACGAACTGGTAATATATGTAATCACACTCACAATTTGCAAATTCATTTGAAGTTTACACAGTTCACGGTGGAACTTAAACACAGTTTGCTGTGGAAACTAAAATTATTCAGATCACAATATGGAATCATGTCGATACCGTAAATGGCAATTGAAGAAAGAAAATCGTGAATTAATTTAAAAATTGAAATTCTAACTCATGTCACATTCATTTAGTCAACAAATCATATACAACATAGGATTCACTTGGGTTTTGTAGAAATCTCAAAGTTACCCATTAGCGATGGACACACACAAATGCACAATGAATACACCATGCACACAAGTTGAGAAGGCTTTGGAACATGCAGACATACCGAGAGAATAGAAAAGCTTAAATGATTACCACACTCACCACGCCAACTTTCTTATTCTTAAAAGCCTTTCACAATAGTATTCACGTATAAGTCTCTGTTTTCCGAAAATCTTAACTCTGAGTTCAATGAATAACAAAAAAAAATGAGAAATAAACAACAAAACGAAAACGGATTTTATTTTATTTTCATTTTGTTACAAAAAATGGAGGAGAATGAATTTTTCTTTAAATAGCGAAAACAAAAACAAAACAAGAGGGTGAATAGATGAATCATCACCGTCGTCATCAGCAGTAGAAGAAGGAGAAATGACAATAAAAATACACGAACCAATCGATGATCAGAGAGCGAACCAAATTACAATATAATGACAACAGTAACAGTCATCAGGATACAGGCGCATAGTAATGTCAACAGATCTATTTTCCTTTAAGATAGTAAAGTGTAGTTAAAGACAATTACATGCGTATATGTATGCATGTGTCACATCATGTATACAGCGTAGTCAGTAGAGAATATTAGACATGACATGTATAAAAATATTATCAAGGAAAAAACATTATTGGATATAAAAACATATTTTTATGCCAATAAAAAATAAACAAATAAGATAATTTTTTTTTAAAAAAGGAGGTTAACAAAACAAAGAGGACTGTACATTCTGGTGGCGTTGTTGCTATTATTGTTATCACTAGCATTAGTACCATTTCTCATTGTGGCACACAAAATCATCACAGAACAGCTTTAAAAATAGAGACCATGGTTAGAGAGAGAGAGGGAGACGCAGAAAAACACTTCTGTTAGTCATGTTACAAAACAAGCCGACTAGTCATTACCATTAAAGCAAGTGAATTAGTCATCGCATTTTGTTATCGTTTGGTTATTTTTGTCTCCTAACCTAAGTGAAATCTATGCTGTTTGTTAGTCACCACTGCACTTAATTTGTCGACAGCAAATTACAGATAGCTGTAGCATGCTGAGAAATTACATCGTAATCGATCAAGCCTAATTGCGTGATTGACATACGACTTCTAGCGCTTGATTTACGCCCTGAACGATTTGAACCAATGTGTTTCAGATTAGCCTGCATATCATTCAACCTCTTCACTGTATTCATGTTGGATAAATCCTAAGATAAGAAAAAAAAGTAAAACGACAATATGATGAGGATGTGAACTCCGACAAGAAATGAGAAACAACACAGAATTTATTCATTAAGTACTTATTCAAGTATTGCTTTGTGGGGATTTGAGTGATTTCAGATTAGATCACAGGCTGGCATCATTCATTCAGAGAACTATTGAAAACCAGGGAGCACTCAGTAACTGTTTCATCTTAGTTAGGGACTCTTCAGTGGTGTACATAATCCATGACCCCACCGCCAGGGATTGAACACAGGATCTCCGAGTCACAAGGTGAGTTCTTCGAACATTCAGCTACTAGGACTGGATCCGATAGCTCAACAATACCTACTTCTGATGATATTAGATAGTTGGAGGTAATCGGTAGGAATCCTTGTACCTAGGTTTCGTGCTCGGTGGCACTTATCACTCTGCACCAAAGAAAGGACTAGACACATCACGCTAGTCGCTAGTGTCCAAAATGCCTACTTCTGACGATCTGCGATATGTGGTGCCACAACTGCTGAAGACATCCGAAGTTGGACGACATAGATGCCCATTATTCCCTGGCTTCCATTTTTTGTGTAACTGGTGGCAGATTCTGATTTAACTTGATAACAAATAGTAAACAGTCAGAGTAAAAAGGGTGATAATGACTGATTAATTTGTCTCCAATGCACTGAGATAGACATCAGACAAATGAGAAATCCCGCACATTGAAAAAATGTGCTACAGCTATTTCTTTTTTATAAGTTTAATAAGGAACAGTTGTTAAGTTTAATTAATTACATGATTTGGGGATAAATGTTGCAACAAAGTGTTTTTACTGCATTCTCAGTCCTTAAAATTCTAATTAAACAAATGTCTATGCATATCAATAACTAGTATGAAAGTGATGACAACCATTCATGTAAAAATGACAATATTCCAGGAACTATTGATTTCATACCTTTTTGGAGTACAATGAACACTACCCCACAACATTGTAAACAAGTGTGTTGTACGGGAAATCTAAAGGAAAATATTTTGGTTGATGATGACTAGTAGTTGAGTTCAAGATGCGCATTTCTTCGCACTTGGACCACGAGGGACTAGTGAATAGTGTTTTGGCGTCAGCAACCGTCGGTGCTGGGTTTGAGTCTCTGTAGGAACACCATCAGATGACGAATAGGACGGGATGCGCATCCCGCTTCCCACTGCTAGTCACCACCAAGGAAAATAACTTTACATCAGTCATTAGACATCATTGAAGCGTCTGTACTAGTAGCTGACTTTTCAAAAGAGACGAATGTTTTCAAAGAGATTTCACAAAGTACGAACTGATAAGTGGCAGTACTGTCTTTTTAGTAACTGGAGTAGATTTTTATTTTTTATTCCCAGTGGAACATAGGGCCTCAAGTTAGAACTTTGGAGTTTCAGTAGCAGCAGTGTTTCTTGTTACGGGACGGGTATATATATATATATATATATATATGCGTGCCCAACCTCCCCTCTTTATCAGTTTTATAACTGACTTAGCGAGGTAAAAGCCTGCATCAGTCGAGGATTGAGGTCTACTAGGCCGTATTAATGGTCATATCGCGCAGAGCTTAACAATACCTGAATCGGAAACTGAGCTTTGTGCTGTTAGGTGCTACGGATCACTGTATTAACCCTCTTATTATTAGCTATTATCAGTATTGCAAAGTGGAAAAAATACAGATCGTCCAAACTAGGACGAAACAGCAGTCCAGTAATCCCAGGTTTACCAATGGTACTCTAACTGATGTCAGCTCATGATGAAATCCTCCATCCAATCAAAACGAAAATCCCTACAAAACCAATACTTGAAAAATATAGATTGTTAGAAGAATCCAAACTGTCCGAAGGCATATTACATAATTACATGAAGTAAGACTCTTAACGACATAATCAGCATAAACTATATAAAGGGGAAAATTTCGTTATTCATAGTGAGTCATCTAAATATTCAATTCATGAGGTTATCACGTAATTAGCGATATTGAAAAAATTGTTTAACATGGTAGTCACCAGAATCACTAATCATCGCTAAAATGTAAATAAACAGCAGCTTACCTGACGTAAACGATCATCGACTAAACAAAGGGCACGTAATGCTGCTAAGGCAGCTTCTTGAACTCTTCGATCACCATCTAAACATCCAGTTTCTAAGAGACTGTTTCAAAGAAAAGCAAAATCAGAAGCAACGCAAATGAAGTTGGCACTAATGAATTGCTAAGAAAAAAAACTTAAGAACAGTAGTAGTCAGCATCCTTGTTCCATCTTGCTACTTCAATGAAGACGACTGTTATTGAACATACTAAATAGTTTATATATTACTGATATCTTTGATAATTCCGCTCTTAACAAACTCAGAGAACAGAAAAAAATCCAACGGAATGGAAAAACATGCACATAAAGAAAAACTCAGTAGTCGAAAGTTAAGAATTACAGTGTTCATACCAGAAATTCACTGAATTACCACAAAACGTTAAATACAAGGACAGAGAAAGAACGACTTTGATTTAAACTGGTGAATAAAAAATAAAATATTTATCAAACAATTGAAAAGCGTTAGAAATCTCTATGGTTAGACCAAAGATATTTTAACTATACTGAAGATAAATCTACAAAGAAAAGTATTATTACAATAACAAAGTTATATTTGTCTACTCGGCGTGGCATCACTCCATGAAATCGTGGACAGTAGGTTTGAGCCAACAAAGTGGGGAGGTGCAGAGTGCCTGATTGGCGACATCAGGATCCTAAGAACCATTGGTTGACGAGTATTGGTGATATAGCTCAAAATCATTCTCCACGGCGCAGATGCATTCACTCTTTGTAATCTGCCATATCATTTAAACCGTCACGTTTTCCATGTAATTGTTCTTTCTTCTATACATTTCTGTTCATTATAGTTCCATTGAATCTCCTCTCTCTCTCTCTCTATTTTCTCTACATTTGTATGCTATATGGAGTGTGGCAACATGAACTGCTGCACTTTTGTGCAAGGTTCTATGCTAAAACTTAGTCAGTCAGTCTCCAACTGCTATTACTACAGATTTTATTCTATTTACTTGTCATCCATGAGACTTGATCCTGTTGACTGACTTAATGCCTTAGTAGTGTAGATCTGTTTATAAAATTGAGGTATTCCAAGTTGCCGTACTTTATTTAAGCACATGTGGAGACAAAGAAAATGGATTCGATGAAATCACAGTAGAAGGAAATATAAGGGAGGAAGAATATTGGAGACCTGGAAGGTTACAAAGAGTGACTTTATCTGCGTCATTAGGTTTTAATATCTAAAAGATTCAAGTAGGGAATCTACACTTACTTATAAGGCTCAGCATTCAAAACCTTCATGGATTGCTTTCATGTTTCCCAGTAATGTAATCCTGTATCCGACAAGATTCCTCGTCGACGAAGGCAATTGCTCGGCATGCCTAACACATGTCCAAAATTTTTCAATCGATGCAGCTTCACAACCTAATCAGGTGAATTCCTGTGTATACCTAAGACTCTAAAAGAAAACTTATTATCACTGACAGTATGTTACTGCCTACCAAGAGAAATTAAACGTAGACATCGATAGTCATAAATGACCAGTATTTTTATATCTTCCTCATTCAACAGCTACCTCGTTGTCGTGAAAATAATATTTAGCGAACAGTGGATAGCAGGATATGTAAAACAACGTCAGATATAATGCAAATTAGCGAACATCAGACGAGCAAAAGTCACCGAATGCCCTTACTTTGAAGAAGCTAGATTTTGTAGGTAGTGAGCGAAACTGCAGGTACTAAAGATTTGCGAAAGCAACATTCGACAACCAAACCTGTATTGGGAAAGCTCGAGAGGTATACGCCCTTCTGGATTTCGATATAACAGTTCAAACATCCTATATGAACGGAATTCAACGTTTTATTATCCTTTCGGAAAAAGTGACACAAGATTATTGTCAGCGTCGGTGGTTCAATGGTAGGATGCACACCAGTCACGCAAATGGTTCGGGCTAGATTTGCTTTCAACGCAGTCCCTAACACCTTGCCTAGTTTACTAGCCAGTATTAAGATTGGAAAAGACGGGAGGTTGAGAGTCAAGACTAACAACCTCAACTCCTGTAAAGAAAAAACAATACCATCGCTACTGAATCTTCAAAGCTCAAAGCTTTATGCCTTACATTCAACTCGGAAAGTAAAGAATGAGAAAATAGATTATTGTCATGATAAAATTAAAGCCAACAAAGTCAACAAATAAAAAGAAACTAAGAGGTGAAAGGACACAAAGACAGATATGAAGTTCATTTCATAGCACGTATTTATTTCAAAAAAAGGAAACAACTACATGTATGTGTCATTTCAGGACAAATCATGCTTTACTTTTATGCCCAGTTTCTCAATAAGCAGGTTGTTTAATTCTGTATAATTATTCAGCCCTTCCTGTGTTCTGTCAATGTATGTGCATGTCAACTGAGGTATAAACCTCATGTTTTGCCTCATATGCTGTTATTATTATTGTCATCTTTTTATATGAGAAATATTTTAATCTTTATACAGCAAATAGAATGATTGAATAAATGAATATAAGCCAAAATACTACACAAATAATGATACAAGACATTGTAATTACTCATCAATATGTGAACATATTTTTTATTTTTAGACTAAATTTACTTTATATTATTGTTCATGGAAATGGTTGAGTATATTTACTTCCCCCTTCCATGATTAAAAAAATATAATAAATACACTTCATATGTAAACACAAGGGGTTTTCAATATGATTGAATATATTCAAACGAAATGTCCAATTTTTGTTGACGTATTGTGTGCTACTGACTAAGTACAAAAAGAACTTAGTCAGAACACTGTTCAATAGAGCACGAAAAATTTGTTCTGACAGTACTACTGAGCATGAAATAAAATCTCCGAAGGATATTTTATCTAAGAATGGATATCCTGAGAAGTTCATTAATAAATACTCTAAAGAAACTACCCCCTGCAAAACAATTCAAACTGTTCTGAAGAAACCTGTCTATATCAGTTTGCCGTTCAAAGGAGATCACGTACAGGAATTAGTCAAACGAAGACTAGACAAAGCCATCAAGAGAACTTATTATGCTGTAAAACTTGTTATCCTAAACACCACCAAGCGAGTGTGCTTCAACAATCTGGGAAGGACCAGTCACCAATCCTGGACACTCCAAACTGCGTATATCAATTTGAGTGTGTTTGTGGCAGCAAATACATAGGTCGTACGGAAAGGCAATTGTCTACTCGCATGATGGAACATTTGCCAAAATGGTTGAAAACAGCTGAGTGCAAAGTGCCGAAATCCTCAATAACAAAACATCTTATGGATCACGGACATGATATCGACGCGGTCACGTCATTCACCATTGTCAGCAAACATAGAAACAAGAAGATGCTTGCAAATGCAGAGGCTTGTGCAATTCGAATTTATAAACCAGCTCTCTGTATACAAAAGGAGATGGTTGTGACTCTGAAACTACCATGGTAATACGTTTTGCTTATTATTCTCTACTTGTTATTACTATTATTCTACCTCATTATTATTATTATTGATTCATTTAAAACTATGCTTTATCAGTAAGATTATCTTAACTCACTTCAACACTATTATTATTATAACTATTACTACTGATATTAGTTTGTTTGCAATTCTCGTTATATTCCCTAATAACTAATTGCTTATCTAAGTGATGTAATTGAAGTGTAATGCAATTTATCTTAATTTTGATCTCTCATACTCTCTCTCCCCTTATCTATTTGAACATGACCTGGAAAACATTCGCACGTGTCTTTCCGCATGACTAATTCAATGTAGTTTGTTTGCTTATCAGTCGTATATCTCCCAATGTAAGTTCAAAAGTATGTATAACCGTGTATGTAGAGTATTCAGTTGACGAGTTCTACCGAAATTTGATGAATTCATTAAATCCTGCTTTATTAACCTTTATTGCTTGATACAGCGTTGCGTAGATACATGGAAGACGTGAAAGAAACATAACATGAAGGCCAGGAGTAGCACAACACGGACGATCTGTGCAAATGGTGATCTGAAGATTAGGTGCAGATAGTTTCGCTATATAATATATATATAATTCCAAATAAACATTCCTTCACCAAGTTTTTCGTCTCTTAACGTTACAATATGGGCTCACTAATACGAAATATTCAACAATTCTTTCGGGTTAACATAGTGCCATTTGGTTGATATGGTAATCCATGATGTGCGTTTCATCACATCGGAGACCCACGTGATGGTTTTCTCCTACTCCTACTGAGACTTGAACCTGCAATCATTGTTTTATACACCACACCTTCTCCATAAGGTCATTTAGTCATGAGAGTCACTTATTGTGAAACAGGTAATTAATCTGTTCATCGAGAAAGTGAGTTGAAATCAATTCATTCTACATATTTCAACGGGTAATCATAAATATTAACAATAATAATAACAATGATAAAATCACTTTCAATTTATGAGAAGTTTACCTACTAAAATGTAGGCTTATCTAAACTGACTTTATGTTAGGCATAACATACAGTCATAATACAACCGAAATGGAAAATGAATTCTATCTAGTGGCGTCGTGAAGTAGTCTTTTAGATGTGTGAGTGGATTTCGAAAAGAAAATTATTTACTCTACTTTAGATAAGAGCATTCAGAAAAAAAGAATACGAATTTAGTAATCAAATTTATTGAATATGAGACATGGCGACAAATTTGAACAATAACAATATTATTGTTATTATTATTATTATCATTGATACCGACCGAGTGATGATAGTGGTTTCCAAAACCTGAAACTTTTGTCTTGTTTTTCTTTCAGAATAAAATCAGATTTTTGGGAATTAATTTATTAACAAATATTTATTTAAATTTATTTTGTATTTCCCGTAGATTGATTACGCTGGACCTAAATCTTCGGTCTCTGTTGATTATGTTGGTGGTGCCTAGTACGGATGCTTCGATAATGTCTGACGATGAACACGTTATTTTGGTGGGTATGATGACTAGCACCGGAATCCTGGATGTGCATTTCACCAAAACTAGGGGCTGACATATCGACAGAGGCCGATATAATAATATTTAATCGACCCATTGGGAAATATTAAATTAGTTTAAACAAATAATAATTGATACCTGTCGCACATAAGGTAGCCTTCGTGGACCAAGTAGCTTAGTGGATAACTCTTTAGTGGTTGAAACGAAAGGTGATCGGTTCGAGTCCCGATGGGAACAACTGCAGTCACTGGGAATGCAGATACATACAGCTGATAGAATGTGCATCCAATGACCCACTGCTAGTCATCACCCACCAAAATATCAACAAATAATTAGTTAATTTTATAATTTCCTCTGCGAGTTAACTTACGCATGGAGGACATTATTTTTACAAAGAGAATCATACAACTGATCTATATGATAACACGTATTCCCGAGACTAGCTGAAAAAGAAAAAGAAAAAAAACATACAACCTAGAACAGTTTCAGTATGGAAAATATAATTAAAAAAACTTCATTTTACTTTCAAGTATTAGTTTGTAGGGTGTTGATTGATCTGCAGTTTGGTCACCGACTGATATTAGTTAGATAACCCATTGAAAAGCACTAGAGTGTACTGGACAACTGTTTTGTTTTAACTTGAAGCTCCTCATCAGCATGCATCAATGATTCCACAATTAAGGGTCGAACCCACTACTCTCAGGTCACGAAGACAGCTCGTCGACCGTTTAGCCATTGGGATGGAATCCAATAACAGGCTCTTGAATTATAACTTTTATCACTTGGCGGTTTTTTATCGCTATCCCTAGACAGTGCTACCGGTGAGTAAATGTCCTCACACCCAATCTGGTGGGCCCTTCTGATCACGAGTTCTCAACAGAACTCTCAGCCACTTCGTCCGTAGTGAGTCAATGACAACAGCCAGATTGATTTTCAAGTGTTAGTTTGTAGGGATATGATTGGTTTCAATTTTATTGATCAATTTCTTCTCACTGCCCTTCTATTCATCTCTCTGTCATATCCACCTCTACTGCACATACACGTACGCACACGACAACCCCACACAGTCAAAGTATAGTAAGGAAGACACAATATCGAAAACACTGTGACTAAAATTGCAATACACATAAGAATTTCTCCATTACTGGTTTAGTATCACCTAGGAAAGTGCTTTTTGAAGTAGAATAGGAAAAAGGAGTACTAAAGTAATTTAACTAAAAATAATTTGAATTTCCCATTGCGATGAATTAGATATAAGAATTATTTACAGTCTGCAACAGGGATATATATATATATATATATATATACTGAGGACTAATTGACCAAGAACTTATCAATCAACAAATATGTGGACGAAAATGCAGATGGATTGGGCATACGCTGAGGAGACCGTCGGATGACATCGCACGCCAGGTCATTGCTCGAGCAGAATCCCAATGGGAAATGATAAGCTGAGTGCCTGTCCGAGGGTGATATCGAGGAGATAGTACGAGTAGAAGATCAGAGATTATGGTCAATAGTGCGGCTAGCTAAAGAAGACCGCAGAAAATAGGACAAAGTGAAGATGTGGTGCTAAAGCCCTATGTTACACTCGGAACTCAAGGGAACAATTATATATATGCAATCCTCACCTGCGGCATTAGTTCGAACTCGGGATGAAGTGTCTTCCGTTAGCAGTGCAACAACCCTAGGGATAGCCGGTAGCACAACAGGACAGAATTCATTCGACAGAAATAAAGCATTGCCTATACATAATAAAGCATACTGTCGTATAACTGAACAATTATGATGTAGGTGTTGAACGCATAGATCAAGTGGTTGATCAAAGAACCATGTCAAATGTTTACTATCCAATAGAATACATGTTCTCGAGGAGACAAGTAATTGTTTACGCTTTGGTATTGGACTATTAACATTGAACTGGAAACGACATATTTGATGACATTGCAGTTCATTGGTAAACTGTGGCAGGATTTCACGCATATTCGATTCGATATACATACAAAGCATTAGATTATTTAATAAACTCAATCCATGGATAGCTGTTATCGTATGTGAATCTTTGATAAGATTTAACAAATTGTCTGGAGTTTGTATATCTAGGCAAGTAAAAAATAAAAGGCAGGTATATACATACATTTATCTATCCTTCGAAAAAAATCATAATAATTTAACCGATAGTGAGAAAGCCTTGAGCATGGAGGCTGTTATCGATGTGATTAGTGATGATTGAAGGTGAAATAAAAATCTGCCCCATGGCAGGATTCAAATCAGAGGCTGCCTCTAACTCTTCGGACTAGCAGTTGGAAGGCTGTTAGTAAAGTTCCCATCATAACGCAGATCTTCACTCAACCTTGAATCGTTGCCCGTTATATCCAAAAAACTAATTATTCAAAACATCGTCAACATTTTATACACAACATCAGATTCACAAACTTTTAACTTTATGTAAACAAAACATCGACATTAGACAACCGGAAATTAATTGATCCAGTTCATGATATGACCAAACTGTCTAAGACTTCGTGGATTGATGTCATGTTTTGATTTAGCCACCCCAACTTTTTTCCAACCTAGTCCTATATCAGCTAATATTATTCAATATGAAAGACAGTGGCTCTGAATGGTTAACCCGTACTTTGTACATTTCAACCGGTTTAGCCTGCAAACTTTGTCGATTGGCGTACCCTCATTACATTACACTCTATGCCTAACTTCAATATTTTTCACCGCATTTTACCAATTAACACGGCAAACAGAACACAAACATCTATGGTTAAGGACAGATCGTGTTTTCACGTCTTCCGCTCTCAACGGCCATATCTCAAAGCTATAAAGAAGGACAAAGCCGACTGTTGCGTGATAAACACGTCATTTGATCGATAGCCGGATATAAAGTCTTCAGAAATCAGTCTATTAGGGTTGATGCAATTTCCCAAATAAATGAAGTAGTCAAACAGGCTCTATCATTTCACTCCTTATCTCTAAGCAGGCAGTCGATGTAGTCCAGCCCTGTAGCATCATCTTACATTTAATGAGGGCGAATCGCGTGTCAAACACATCAATTTTTCTGGTCAAGTTAAAGTTCTACACTGGCAAGTTAGTCGATCGGGTTATTTTACCGGCGTAGATAGCTCTTTACTCAAAACATCACCGCACAATAATTTATTATTCCATCTTAAAATCATAACAATATTCCAATAGTTGCCAAATACAAATAACCTTGCTTTTCTATTGAATAAAACCTTGTATTATTATTATTATTATCATTACCAGGTTTGTCGACTGGGATCAACAGGGACCAGACTAAATTTCCAGCTGTACGGCCTTCTTCGACAATTTTCATTTGATCAGGTTTAACTGGACGAATATCTCTTTTGCGATCAGATAACTCTAAAATTCGAAATGCTAAGAACTGTGATAACAGAACACACGATCCCCATTGAATTTCTTTGATAGGTGATGTAAAACACCACCGAATCAATTCATGAATCTACAGCACGGAAAAAAGAATAATGTTAGGATGAATTCAGTTATATGAGTAATTATTAATAATGCACTATAAAAAGGTGTTAAATAATTATTTTCAAGGTGCACATATAACCTGAAAACAATTGTATATCTCCTTATCGTGTCAACCTTTGAGGTTGGGTAGAGTAAACATAAGGACAAATCATTTGACCAAAATAGCTCGGCGGTGTCCTTACTGACTACGACACTTAGTTACGCACGTTGGAATCGCAAAGAAGACATCGATTCCTTCAGGGTTGCATTTATCGCCTTCCTGACTGGTGTCATCACCCAAAACACCTAGGTACACGACTTCTTGCTGTCTCCAACCACTTAAGATCAATTTGAAGTACACCACGATGACAAGTCACCTTGCTTGGCTATTGCAATTCGCCTCAAACAACCAGTGCTCTGTGTTTAAAAGAAGCAAGTCCAACCCCTACTACTGCCCTGGACTTCAGTAGAAACTATAAACTCGCGAATTTGTATTATTATCTTTCCTAATTTTTCTGACATTCAGCTTATTTTATTTTGATGCTATTGAGCTATAATCTATCAATATGATTGATTCGATGTTATTTTAACAACATTAATGTTGTTCATAACACTAATTCATTCATTCACTATAATGTATATATAACTGCAGAACCTGATAATGAAGTTATCGAAAAGAGTACTCCTTGTTCAGTATCCATTCTTTTGAAAATTGCATAGTCGTTTGAGTACCAGGCTTCTAGGAATTCCCCGGCACTTTTGGTGTTTCCTCTGTCTAAGATTTCGACATTATCCCAGTTAAACTGATGTCCATAATTTTCTATATGCATTGATATGAAAGCAAATATATCGTGTCTTTTCACGGCTATCCCCTTTTTCTGTTGGATCTTTCGGTTTGCATAATATCGAATTAAGTGATTTGACTGCCTTGTGTGCTATATCTATATCAAACGGTTTCAATATTCCACCTGTTATTTCAGAGATATTTCTCACGTATTGTAGGATGAATTTCTTTTTCGTCTTTGGTGATGGTTCCTTGTTGGTGCTGTGACTCAATTTTAAACACTTTTTAATGAAATTTTGTGGATAACCATTCTTTTTGAAAACCGTTTGTAGGTAATTTTCTTCCATTCTTTTCAACTCTGGAGGGCTACAGTGTGTTTGAATTCTTTTAAACAATGTCAGCACACAGTTTCTTTTGTGAGTGAGTAGTTGGATTATTGCTAGCATAGTTGAGTATTTGATCTGTGTGCGTTGAGTTTCTATACACTTGTGTTTCTAAATTTCCTGTGTTGGTTCTCCTGATTAAGACATCTAAAAATGGGGTTTTGCTATCTAATTCTTCTTCTATAGACCAAATATACCAACTAATAAAAAGTAAATCATGTGACCAGAAAGTTTAAAATCCAAGTCGATAGAAAATGATCAATACATATGTAAAGATCGATCTATACTGAAGATCAGATGGCCGGGAAGAATCACCAACAAGGAACTATGGGAACAAGCAAAACAAGAACCAATCGCCAACCAACAAATATGCAGAAGAAAATGGAGATGGATCGGACACTCGCTGAAGAAACCGCTGGGTGACATCGCGCGTCAAGCCCTCGAGTGGAACCCGAAAGGGAAGCGGCGAGTGGGACTTCCAAGGGTGACATAGAGGAGATCATGTGAAGAGGAGTTGAAAGAGTATGGACTAACATGGATGCAGGTGAAAAGTACAGCAGAAGACAGAAGCAAGTGGAGACGTGCAGTTGAAGCCCTATGTTCCACTAGGAACCCAAGGGAGCAATAAATAAATAATAAATACGTAAAGATGGTTACCAAAAGACGCAATTATATCACTCATGAAAAATTTAAATCATTTCACTTGATGCTGAAAATTGCACTGAAGGTGTTGTCCAGAAGGATGACGAAAGCTCCGTAACCAAACCGACCAGCTCAGAGAACACTGTTAATTGCAAATCACCCACCTGAGCTACAAATCTCTATTATTTCAAAGTGTGGGTATTTTTGTTAACCAAAAGAAGGCTGAATAACCTTCATGAAACCAGTGTTCCTTAAATTAAGATTTGAAGAGGATTAAATTGGAGAAATAATTCCCAGACGAATAAAAGATGGAATATCAAGGATGCATCGATGCGTCAAATCGGCCATCCTGTATAACACAAGCTGTTCAATTACATAGTCTATAAAGTAGCCCAATTGCTGGCTCTATATAACTCCAAAAGCGTTTATGAATTCAAGTGTACATGTGGTAGCAAGTCAGTAGGCAAAACGAGAAGACGGTTTTCTACGAGGAATGTTGAACATGTACCAACGACACTAAGTCTTAGATGTTCAGTATCATTTAACGGGCTCATAGTTCAAGAACTGGCTGATACAATACATCAGTTCAACACAGAAGAATCTTTTAAGGCGAGGAACAAACAGAGCAATTCAACACTACTCAGGATTGCTGAAGTTGTGATCATCCAAAGAGTGCAACTTGAATTAAGAGTGCAAAAAGCGACTGTCACTAACTTAATACTATCTTAGCAAGCACTCCAAATTGTCAGTTTCATTTCATTTTTATGATGTAACTTGATGACTGCATTTATCTGTTTTGCTGTTAATTTCAGTACCTTTCTTATCCTTAACCTCTTTCATTTTGTTTGAATAACTTTTCACAAGGTTTCGTAGCGATCTCCAATTATCCGTGAATTAAGTTTAAATTCTATAAAATTCTTCTCTTAACAATATGGTAATTCCTCTATTTTGACCATAACTAGTCCTTTACAGTTTGCACCTTGTCTCCATTTTCGGCATGTCATTTTACTCCCATAAAAATGAAATGGCTATTCGGAGTTAAAGTGTATTGAAATTATTTCACACTCAATGTTTATGCATAGTTTATTAGGTAGCTAATAAAAAGCCAATAAAATAATGATGAATTCATCTTATCCTGCAAAAGTTATTCATTTTGCTTTATTCAGATATTAGTTCTATTGTTCAGATTTTCATTTTAACACACAAATCGCCACATAAACACATATTACATTAAAATAAGGCAAATAATAGAAGTTATAAAAGTCTGCCACATGATTATTGTTTAGAGCTGTTCAGTTGGGAGTGACCAAAGCACTGATAAGTATAAATCACACATTTCTGCCTATAACAACCAAACTACCATTGTTTATCTACTTGTTTCAGCCCACCATGATGGTATCGTCAATATCAACCTTCAAAATAAATTGTTAAAATAATCCACAGTTTGGCTATTTCTTTCTTTCATACATGCATTTACAATTGAGAGGAGCGTCGTGTAATTTAGTGGTTAGTGACAGGTAGAGAAATCCAAGGGATGCATTTCATTCCAACTCTGACTCGTCGGCCGGATATACCTGCGGTCCTTAGTGGCGCTCATAGCCATTATCCTTTGTTTCGAACGCCTAAGCGTTAATCAGTAGGGTACTTGGGTCACGACAGACACTGCTTGTACAAGGGGCATCAGATGTTATTTTTTTGTTAGTCAATTCTGATACTCCTGGTGACTGGACCAAAACGTTTGATCCTTTGAAAAAGAGGTAATTTTCGCGGCAAAAGTGGTCTACTGGACAGTATTTGGCATTTGAAACGATGGGTACTCGGTTCGAGTCTCTATGGAGGCGCCATCACTTACTGAAGAATGCAGCTACATCGAGACGGCGAGTTCGAAACAGGACGAAATTCATATTTTCAAGTATTGGTTTTGCAGGGATTTTGTTTGATTGCATGGAGGATTTAATCATGAGCTGACATCATTTAGGGAACCACTGGAAAACCTGGGAGTACTGGACAGCTGTTTCGTCCTAATTTGGGACTCTTCAGCAGTACCCACCCACCGGGATTCGAACCCAGGACCTTCTGGTTACAAGGTGAGCTCGTAGATCATTGAGCTACTGGGACCCGATCCAATGGTCCTTGAATTCTAACTTCTGCCAGTTCACGACATAGCGCGACCACTTCGCAATGTCTTCTTCGATCATCAAAGACCATTGGATCGGGTCCCAGTGGCTCAATGGCCTACGAGCTCGCCTTGTAACCAGAAGGTCCTGGGTTCGAATCCCGGTGGATGGGTACTGCTGAAGAGTCCCAAACTAGGGCGAAACAGCTGTCCAGTACTCCCAGAAATTCGTATTCTCGATTTTACTACTGGTCATCATTCGGGGAATTACTTCATATCAACCCCCAGACATTGTCGAAGAGTCAGTACTGGACGACGATATGTCCACAGGGGTCGAACATTTCAGTCTAATCAATCAACAGAGAAATCAAATATGATTTCGGAATACATATAGAAGCAATGTTAAATAATGAATTCCTCTCTTCTTTATTTTTACCTCCACCATTCTCTTTCTTTTTTTCACACACACACACAAACACCGCCGTGCAAACATCACGACCTAACACATTTATGTTAACATTTATCAACAACATTAACATTTTATCAGCTGCAAAATAGATACACAAATACACTACACACATATATACTACCGAAGTTTGGTTCAAAACGTCATCCAGTAAATAATACTGTTTCACTGTGTGATACCTCTAGTAAACAAACTAATATGGAAATATTACCGATCCCTTTATCTACCGAATAACGGAAACATTAAAACAAAAAAGTCTTTAACAGAAAATGTAGTTAATGACTCTATTGCTATTATGATTGTTATCATCATCCTCAATCTCATTATTATCATTATTGAACAGTTCGGAAAAAGAGAATACAAAACAACTGTTAGTATTGTGTTTCGCTTTCCGAACAACTATATAAAACTGAAACGAAAAAATGAAAATATCAAAGGATATCAAAGTTATTTTTTGTGTTTCGCGTTGACTGATTCATACTGAACTGGAATGCTTGGTCTCTGATGACACACCAATTGCCAGTACGGAAGCTTCGAGGGTGTTTTATGATCGACATGATATCGTAGGGATGACGATAAGAAGCAGTGGAGTTCAGGATGCGCTTTTCGTTCTATTTAAGACTCGTCAGGTTCTGATTTTACCTGAATCCACAATGAGTGACTGTGTTCCATTGAGATTTGAACCGAACACCCACTGTTTCGAATACTAAGGCGTTATTCATTACGTCAACCGAATGACACGGTGTTAACTGACAGACATACTCAACAAGAATCGAGCATTTTAGTCTAATATTAATCAATCAACGGGAAATCCAAATTAACAGCTGATACACATTGCACAAGAGGTGACTCTTTTGGTTTAATGGCTTAGTGGATAATGATTAGGAATACGGAAAGATATGTGCTACATGCGAGTCTCAGCAAGAACAGCAACATTCATTGGTAATGTAAACACATCCGGCTGATGAGTCCCAAACAGGACATCCACTGTATCTACTTTTAGCCACTATCAAACAAATGACAAAAACGAAAATAGCCAATAACTCACTGGACGAGAAAGGATACTGGTATATTTCTTTAATCATAAATCGAAGAAGAGTAGTACCACAAGGTTACAGGATTGACTGGTATCAAGCTCTTCTATGTTGATGTAGATCATTGACTCAAAAACTCAGTTTCCAGTCAATGAGTGAGTCCAGGATTTAATTACAGTACCACGTATTTGGGCCTAGGCATATAGGTAGTACGCATAGCAATCACACGATTAGTATAGCTCTTTGCCTGGTACACAGAAGACCTGTTCCAGATAAGTGAACGAAGTTCATTTACTCATGAACAATCAGCTATATTTGTAAAATCTCAGCGAAATTGAAGCGAGTAATTTCAACGTTTCGTTGTATAAGCTTTGAGGCGATTACATTCCTTTATTTTTTCCACTTATTCGGAGATTTGAGACAAATTCACATACAGCCTCTCACAGTAGAATATCAAAGTAAACATAGAAGACACGTCTAGCATTTGCTAAGTTTGTGCATACTGTCGTGAGTCTGGTGTACCCGGCGAGAACACTACAAATCAGTCCATTCTTTGATCGTGAAACATGAAGAAAAAGGAGAGCAGGTATCGAATTTCGATTGTAGAGGTATTTGTGTTTGCGATAGGGATTCCCTACTTCATTACCAGAAATAAGATCCAAAATATATATATATATATATATGGTTCAGAGAATTAGCGCAAGCGCCACCGAAAGCATTTACACAGTCCGCTACAGACTTTCAACTATCCTGCCTTTACTCAATATTGAAGGTAAGACAGCCATCTAGATACGATTAACAACAGGAAACTTCGGCAACAAACCAGTCAAGAGCCTTACGCCCACATATATGCAGAAAGAAATGGAGACAAATACGACATACAGTGAGAAGATATTCAAAAGGTGTCATGCGCCGACCCAGGCAGATCCTCGAGTCGAACCCGAATGACACATAAAGGGTTGGGTATCCAAGAGTGACATGGAGATTATCATATGAAAAGGAAATATAAGTTTGTGATCAGTCTTGGAGCCAGGTGGAAGTAATGATAGAGAATCGAGTCTAACAGAGATGTGCCACTGAGGCATTATATGCAGTTGGAAACTCATGAAAGAAATTATAATATTGACTGTGTAATTTTTTTACTTTTTTTATTACAGCTTGATTCCACACTGTATATTTGGTACAAGTATGGAATTTTCAGCATGGATATCGGTAGCCCAAATTTCGCAGGCCGACCATAGATATCAAGGTGTGCGTCGGCGTGGGCTCGAACCCCGAACCATGTTCATGGTCGGCGGGAGTCCTAGCCACTGTGCTACCGACGCACACTCTATTCTGTGAGACAATTCTACAATGGTTCAGTATACAATATATATATATATAACCAAAATAGCTAAAAGTGAACAGCTATGTAACGCTCCTTGTTTTCTTTCATTCAATTTAATTATATAGTTTCACAATGAGAAATATGAATGAAACCATTCTTTGTGTAGTGTTAGTAAGTTACATCTTAAAACTGCCTCTACAACCAATTGAGATCATATCAAGTGTAGCCATAGCTAATAAAGTTAATGAATAAATAAACACATAAAATGACAAAAACATACAAACAAAAACCACAATTCTACCCACCGCTTTCACTTCAGGCTCATAATCATCTAGATCAGATCCAAACAGTAAATTGATCAATTGTTTACCAAGTATCTTTCGACAAGTTAATCCCTCTTCATTAATTATATCATATACACTATACTGATACATAATCTCATCTGTGCTGTCTGTACCATGCAAGTTAATTGGATCACAGCATAGCTTGAATGCAACCATTAGGATGGATTGAGTATGCGATAAGAGGACTGGATCATTTTCTATTGATTTCAATGTCAGTGTATCACAATCATTATTTCTATGCTTATTGTTATTATTATTGTCAATAATTGTTGTATGGGCAGTAGTTTGTTTTAAAGGAATATAGGATTTTGTTAAATTGCAGATATAGCATAATGTATGCATAAAATGAGCTAACATTTGATTCTCCAAATAAAGTCTATATGAATGTACACGTGTTAAAATAAAAAAAATTAGAATCATACATGTAGTCAACATCATTTTCACTCAATAGGCAATGCAAAAATATAAAAGTTATCATCATAATTTTCTGAATACTTTCAAAATACGAAATTTCCGTTTGTGTTGACTGCCTGAAGTAGTCTTACTTTGGCAGAATATTATGTTCATTTGATGGGTAACGAAAACGACAAGACGTAAACCAGAGGCCTTTGTAATGCTAGTCCAGCATTCTACCAGCTGAGCAACAAACCCATTACAACAATAAGAAGATGCCCAACCCAAGGTTCTCTTAGACAGCCTCACGGTAAACTAACAGCCTGCTATTCAAATTTTAATTCAGTATTAGCAGCAAAGGCAGGAAAAGACCAGTTTGAACATTAAGTAAGGCGGTGAACAGACAGTAAGATATCATTTATCCATATGGTAGCTAGGCGCTGGTCGTGATCACTGCAGTGAAATGATGACGTCACTGATAGTTCAACCTCACAGATCATCTTTTAAAGCACCAGACTAGTGATTCAAAGGTTGATTGTTCAGGTCTTTAGCAAATAAAACCTTCATTTCATCCCTAGTCGCCATTTATTACTTACCTATGAGTCAAGCAAATGTATATTCAGTTAGAATGTTGGTAATAATTTTCTCCAACATTTAGGTGAAAAACACAACTTTGGTTAGCTGGCTGTAACGCTGTAAATGGAAGTTAGTATTCGCCACTTATTAGATTTCAACTCAGCTCGTGTCTAAACATCCATAAGTAATTTGACACTATAGAGAATATGGGGCCGCAGCTTGCCTTATTCATTATTTAGTTTATAAAACGCGAGCATAATTTAATATGTTTTCGAAATTTATAAGCACTTATTATCCAGTAACTGGTATAATTTATTTTGAATATTCGATATATAATAATAATGAGATAAACATTCATTTAAATTTGTTGGTCATAATAAACTAGGTAGATTAAAACATTTATCTCGTTGAGCTTTAGGCATGTCTGAAGCATGAAGACATAATGAGATAAGGAAACAAGTTTCTAACATATTCAAGAAACACGACACTTAACCAGTATCTGTCACAAAAGAACACACCAACTAAAAAATGAATGAATTCCAACGAATGCTACATCTCCAGTATGCATTTTACTATTCTATAAGTATTTTAACTAATCATACAGAATGAATATTATGACAGTAGACTCATATGACCCCACCGTCAGTGACCGAACCCAAGAACCTCAGGGTACGAGGCCAATCTGTTGACCATTCAGCTACTAGACACAGATGACCACCGGCATATGAGCTCTAAATCTTACTGATTTGCACTATTTGTGCAGTGTCATAGCCATCTAAGGTCACCGACGATTATCTCAGTATTATAGGATCAAAAACCCAATAAACTCTTGTTTAATAAATCTAATAACTAATAGTGCAGAACCTCCATTATTTCAATCAGGTTAGTTAGTGAGAGTACTAATGAATTTCAATTCCATTCCAAGTCAACAAAATAAATAACATAATAAATGGTATTTGCCTAACTGACTGTTTTATTCCCTACAGAAATTGTTCAATTCACGAATACCAAAACAAACCCGTAGATTGACTCATACTTACGCATATATTAAATCATTAATGAATTTCACCTATTTGCAGGAAGGCTAACAAAAAACCTAAATATTTTACTCCTGCTTTCTAAGTATGGTCTGGATCGGTAGTAATTAAAAGGGAAAATATAACCCAACTAACTAAATAACTAACCAACTTACCCAAATATCAAAGAAGTTTTCGGTATGACATACTTCTTTTTAATGTTTCATGAAAAAAGACCTTTCACATTTACACTTCATTAAATAATAATAATGAGACACTGACCAAGAAAAAAATTAAACAACCGATAAAAAAAAGAATGGAGAAAGATCAAAACACAGCAACAGTTACAGTTATCGACTTACCTGGTCAACGCAATTTTATAATCCTCGTCACCAGATTTAAACGGAAAGTACAATAAATGAGCACATGAACTAAGAATATCCAGTATCAAGTTGGTTGGATGCAATGCAGCCCAAGAACTATTATAAAAGATATTTGTTAAGAACAATAATGTAACCAAGTAAGACTACAATTTTAAAAAAGAAACATTTGAAACAAAATACTGATTTTAGTTGATAGTAACAGACATTAGGAGTCCAGTTTGCTCATTTCGTCCTATTGCGAACTCGTCAGTTGGTTGTACCTGCATTCCCAGTGAACGATAATGGTATTCTCAGTGGGACCGCGACCCTGAAGCCATTGTTTTAATTGACGAGTCCCAAAAAGGGAGAAAGGCGCATTCTGGATCTCATTGCTAGTCTCTACAAACAGAAATAAATTCACGTTAATCCTCAGATATCCTTGAAGCACCAATACTACGAGCCAACATGCCAACGCAGAACGAGAGTTTCTGTACAAAATAATCAATTAACGGGTAATGCAAAATTCAACTAAAACAAATATTTCATACGCTCAAAATATGTGTAATGATATCACTTTCACTGTTTTGCATTTCATTCTAACCCTGCATTTGTGAACAAAAACAACATGGAAGTGTCAAAGAAGTAAGCCACTGTTGATTATCGGCGCATCGATGTCCACATTATACTGACGATCAGAGATGTTGATCAAAAAACAAAAACGGAAACCCAACGTGCTAGGTTAAAAATAGGTTTTTGTATCAGGAAGAAATGGTGACAAAGCTTAATGATTATATTTACAAAACAAAGATACTCAATTTTTACTATACCAGGTATCGTTGTATATTCTCTGTTCTGTTTAAAAACTCTTTGTTGTTCACTCGATCGTCAGTCACTTGATTCTACTGGCTTTTGCAAAATATTGTTTCTACTTACCTAACCTGTTACACTAAATTTTTTTTCCTTCACGTTCCCAATGGAACATATGGCCTCAAGCTAGTGGCTTGAAGTTTCTGTACCACTGTTTAATTTTACAGGATGGGGTTGATAGCCTCATGCCCAACCTTTCCGCTTTACCAGCATTCTTTCTGACTTAGCGAGGTAAAGGAGTGCGTCGGCCGGGGAACGAACCCCGGACTATGTGCATGGTCGGCTAAAATACTATTTGTTATTAAACATTATTTCTATTGAACGTACTGAACTCTCCCCCGTTTGGTTTTTTTTACAAGTATATTCGTACAGTTATAAATAATCGATGCTTCTAGCACTTAATAATGTAACTGCCTACATCTTTCTAAACTTATGCTGTTCATAATACTTGTGCATAACTCATCAATGTGATAAAACTATGCTCACTTTTTTAATTTATATTCTTTGGTGATATTATTCAGGTTGTAAACAGTTAGAAGGAATCCTGAGAATAATAAGAAATAAACTTATATTTTTCTGATACACTTGTTTTATCTTCCTTTTGACTCCATCATAGTAACTGAGGGTCCTATTGGTGGGATTACGGGTGCAGACTGCTAAAGAGTTTTAAACTCCGACGAAACAGATATCTTGTACTCCTTCGAGTTCAACAGTTCTCTAACTAATGTTAGTTCATCGTCTAACTTGAAATCAATAAAATCCCAGCAAAACAACACTTCAATATTTCAAACATTTATTCCCCTTAATGAATTTGAACAATGCAAGAACTACAGTTTTAGCAGAATAAAATGGTACCATCTTTTATTTCGTTGCCTTCTCGTCAGCTGCTTACATGGCAAAGACATTATTAAATATATCTACAACAACAATTTTAACATACTTGCACAGAGTTCAGTTTAAACAAAAATCAATCGATCAATATACTCATACACTAAAAATATATACATATATAAATATGCAATATTAACCACTATTCCGAACAATAATAATCAAACACAATGGAAACTTTTAGCATTTCACATTCGGAGGAAAGAGAGGTGAAATTATCCAGTTACCAGGGCAAAGAAAGGCTGATAACCGCTTCTTTCTGGACGCATAAATCAGGTTTCAGGCGCTTGATGGAAATGGCTTCAGCAAACTTAAGGAGAATTGAGCTATTTTGCTTATTGATAATTTTGAACGACTTTTCGACGTCCACCTCATGACCCGTGTCGAGAAGATGCCTGGTGATGGCACTGTTTAAAGCATTTGTTCCCTTTAGACGTAAGCTTTTTGGTTCATGTTCAGGAAATCGTAGATATGCCCTTCTTTCTGTCCTTCCAATGCAACTGCTCCCGCAGATACATGTAAATTTGTATACACAGTTGGAGGTAACATGAGAAGGATATCTATCGATTTTTGATTGCTCGTTCCCGTCTATCGAACAACTTGCTCTTTGGTGCAATCAAAAATCGATAGATATCCTTCTCATGTTACCTCCAACTGTGTATACAAATTTACATGTATCTGCGGGAGCAGTTGCATTGGAAGGACAGAAAGAAGGGCATATCTACGATTTCCTGAACATGAACCAAAAGGCTTACGTCTAAAGGGAACAAATGCTTTAAACAGTGCCATCACCAGGCATCTTCTCGACACGGGTCATGAGGTGGACGTCGAAAAGTCGTTCAAAATTATCATTAAGCAAAATAGCTCAATTCTCCTTAAGTTTGCTGAAGCCATTTCCATCAAGCGCCTGAAACCTGATTTATGCGTCCAGAAAGAAGCGGTTATCAACCTTTCTTTGCCCTGGTAACTGGATAATTTCACCTCTCTTTCCTCCGAATGTGAAATGCTAAAAGTTTCCATTGTGTTTGATTATTATTGTTCGGAATAGTGGTTAATATTGCATATTTATATATGTATATATTTTTAGTGTATGAGTATATTGATCGATTGATTTTTGTTTAAACTGAACTCTGTGCAAGTATGTTAAAATTGTTGTTGTAGATATATTTAATAATGTCTTTGCCATGTAAGCAGCTGACGAGAAGGCAACGAAATAAAAGATGGTACCATTTTATTCTGCTAAAACTGTAGTTCTTGCATTGTTCAAACTTCAATATTTATTTTCAAAATTTTTCAGAATGTTTATTACCTCTCAGTTAAAACTAACTGCTATTAAAATGTATCTTGTCCAATGAAACACTACACTTTCTACTTAAATAGTGAACTGAATAACGTAAACAGCTGATGCAATAGGCACTCAGACGTACATATATATATATATATATATATATATCATCAACATCAGTATATTTATGCAGTTTATTGTTTAGGAAGGTGCCATAAATGAAAAAATAAGTCAAAAAAAAGAGTGAAAATCTTATGCAGTAAGATATAAGATACATTTTCATATTAGATTAGGTTGTTTCACTGTAATACAGTGGGATGTAGTATTAATAACTGGATAATAATGTTTCGGGTATAATAATATTGGATATAATCACATCTCGGTGTATCCACATGACTTCCTAATTTGCTTTATTTCCTCATGTTTTCAATGTAATTTTCCATACATTCGGGATAGGTGCTGCGTCATTTCTTCGACTGTATGTATCCGGTGTTGACTCGACCGCCATTTATTTATATAACATTTTGACACTTTACCCTATCTTATCCTAATGTGTGATTACTATCAAGCGTTATTGATATAAAAATGGCAATCAAGAAGGCAAGCATAACTCCATGATGGTATATACCATCAAAGTGATCTAGATACCAAACAGTTTTACAGCTCGTTTCGAGTGAGGTCATCAGCAATGTACCCGGCTCCACGCAACTCTCTAAGTAGCTTCCAACTAAATCATATCAATAGTAGCATACATCATCACGTTATATTACTTCCCCTTTTGCCTCCATAAGATCTTTAGGTTGATAGGGTTTATCAATATTGTACATTATTATTAGTTAGACTCCGATTCCAATAAGAAGACTCTAGAAGATCTGCATTTCGCAGGTGATACATGCCTAACGTCATGCAAACTCGAAGACTCGCAGGCGAAAACCAACAAACTGGCTGAAGAAGCAGCGAAGAAAGGACTCTAGGTGAACACAGAGAAGACAGAAGTGATGGAGATAACCAAACAACAACAACAACCAGCCCCAATCACCACCAAAGGGAGAGATTTAACAGAGATCACTTCCTTCGCTCATATAGAAAGCACGGCTCCAACCACAGGCAGTAGGAACGAATAAAGATGTCAAAGCTAGAATTGGAAAAGCAAGATACGCCCTCATCACTCAGTTTATAAATCTTCTGCACCCACTCAGGATAAAAAACAAGATTTGGATTCTCAACACAAATGTCAAGTCAGTCAGTTCTTCTATATGAACCAGAAACTTGGCCAGTGCCCCACGGAAAGGATTTTCAAAAAGTTACAGACTTTTGTCAACAGCTGTCCACTTCTCCGGCTCCATACTGAAGATCAAATGTCCGGCCAGCCAGCCAGAATTAGCAACAAGAAACTCTGGCAACGAACAAACCAACGAAGAGCCGACTGCTCAACAAATATGTAGGAGAAAATGGAGATGAATCGAGCATACGTTGAGATCATCGAATGGGATCATGCGCCAGGCTCTGGGGTGGGATGGGTAAGTAGTCCTAGGGCGATATGGAGGAGATGCTGCGAGGAGAGGATGAGAGATTCTGGCAAATCGTGGACCCAGCTGATGAGAACAGCAGAAAATAGAACAAAAAGGAGATGTGTTGTTGAAGCCCTATGTTTCATACCGAACCCAAGGGAATTATAATAATAAATGATAATTGTGTGTTAGATCAAATAATGTCATCTCTCACATGGAATGAATAAACGATATCAAAACTAATGAAACAAGTGTAAAACTTTATGAAAAAAAAGAAAGTGAACTGGCTACCACAATTGCATATACACACATATATACACATGTTGGATAAAAGCCTTCACAGAACGAAATGAACATTTGTAAGACGTGAAAGTTTCAAAATGAGGAAAAAAAGTCACTTAGACAAATGAAATGCTAAGCAGTAGATGGAGATGATTGAATTTCTTATGTGAAATTTGAATAGTTTACGGTATATATAAAATGCCCTACAAAGTTAGTTAGTATAACTTCCTTTTTTTAAAAAGAAACAAAGTGTAAGAAGTCCCAATCATTTTTCATTTCCTTAG